AGATACAAAATCCATAGAAATGCTATCCTATTTCCACTCAGGAATAAACAATGGTTGCATCAAACCCGACGATTTATGATGCTCAATCTTTGACTTCTTACAAGTCAAACAAGAATACATAAACTCGACAATATCCTTCTTCATACGAGGCCACCAAAACACTTTCCTCAAATCTTGATACATCTTAGTAGCACTCGGATGAATACTCAATCTGCTACGATGCCCTTCCTCAAGAATGCTCTTTTTCAGCTCAACAACATCAGGAACACAAACTCTATCACGACACCTCATGATACCATTTTCATCAATCCAAAAATCACCACCTTGACCTTGATTGATCAAAGTCAACCGATCAACTAAACTCAAATCAGATTTCTGTCCTTCTCGAATTTCGTCAAGAATACCACTAGTAAGCTTTAACATACCAAGCTTAACTCCGTAAGAAGTCTTCTCACACACTAAGCTCAAATCGCAAAATTGCTCAATCAATTCCAACTTTTTCACCATCATCATCGACATATGCAACGATTTCCTACTCAATGCATCAGCTACCACATTTGCTTTACCCGGATGGTAATTTAAATCAAAATCATAATCCTTCAGAAGCTCTAGCCATCTCCTCTGTCTTGTATTCAATTCTTTCTGATCGAAGAGATACTTCAAACTCTTATGATCACTTAATACCTCAAATCTCGAACCAAACAAATAATGCCTCCAAAGTTTTAGCACAAATACAACGGCGGCCAACTCTAGGTCATGCGTTGGATAATTCTTCTCATGCACTTTGAGTTACCTCGGAGCATAAGCTACCACTTGTTTATCTTGCATCAACACACCTCCCAAACCCATCAAAGAAGCATCACAATACACAACAAACGGTTATGTCGGATTCGGCAAAATCAAAACAGAAGTTGTCGTCAATCTCCTCTTAAGCTCTTGAAAACTTCCCTCACACTTTGCATTCCAAACAAAAGCTTGACTTTTCCTAGTCAACTGCGTCAACGGCAATGATAACTTGACAAATTCTTCAATGAATTTCCGATAATATCCCGCCAAACCAAGAAAACTTCTAATCTCAAAAACTGATTTCGGAGTCTCCCATTGTGATACCGCTTCAACCTTCGACGGATCCACTGCAATACCTTTACTCGAAATCACATGACCAAGAAAACTCACTTCCTTCAACCAAAATTCCTAATGAAGAGAACTCAAAATATTTTCATGATAAAAAGGTTAGAGATTTTTGTAATTGGAATAAATTGCATATCAATTGTCCTTTCAGTGTTCTTATCTTCCCATTTTATTCTTGAACAAGTCACTATCTTGGTTTTAAGAACCAACATTTTTATATGTACCAACACAACAATCCAAATAATAATGTTTGTTTATAATGATGAGTTACTTGGTAAGGATCACCTTTGTGCCATGGCTGCCATTAGGAATGCTCATAACGATTTAGCTCAAATCCATGCAACTCATGACGTCTTTTCTTTCACACTTATTGATATGCTTATCGATGGACTGAATTACAAAAACACATGTAATTGGGGATATACATTAGATGCAAGATGTGTGGCTCTAATTCAAAACTTCTACCCCAAAGTCATATGCAACTGAAGACTCCTTACATTTGCTACATTAACAATAACTATTTGGACTAAACCAGTGTCTAATGTACCAATTTTTTATATATTGTCTAATTAGATAGTTGTTAAATGGGATCTAGGAGGTTATTTTCTTTTCATTAGGAGGATTAACTTGACACGAAAGTTACTTAAAATGATGCTTTTATCTGCATTCTTCTAATTTCAGCCTCGAGGACAAGGTTGATTTTTTTAATGGGGATGGTAATGTTATGATCCAAATTGAAATAAGCATGTCATCAAAGTGAGTCATTAAAATGGTTAGAGAAAAGAAACATTTGTCACTTGATACAACAATTAAGGGAATAAAGTTAACAAGAAATTCTCACTTAACCTTATATAAAAGGGAGTATTGATTGACAATATAAGCATGGAAAGAAAATTAATGAGTCACTTCTTTCTTACCTTAGGTACTCTCATTGAGAATAATTAATTCATATACTTGATCTTCTTCTATCTTGCTACTAGTTCTATAATTTGTCATTTTGCATTGTATTCACTTCATTTCTCTTGTATTGTTTTTAGTAAATGTTATACAAAGAGATATTTCATCTATTGTCTACATTTTATAGGCATTAAACATTTTCAAAAGGCCTAAACACTTACACACTACTTATATAAGTGTTTTGCCCACAACTTGTATTTTGTGTACTATTACTAGTTGTCTATCAAATTTAATTGATTGTATTGAGAGAAAAACCATCAAAATCATTCTTTAGAGAATAAACTTCTAAACAATCACTAATTAATCACCAAAGAATGATGTGATTTTATGACTCTCTCCACCATTCAATTAATAAATAAAAAAAATCAAGATTTCATCATTATGCCAACTTTAAAAAACTCTGGTGAAAATATTTTTGGAATTTCTTATCCCACCCTACAGGGTTGAAAACACCTTCTGGAAAATCCAAAATGTCCCTCATATTTTGGAGATGCATCTTCGGACGCACCTTATCTAAAATCAAAATATTAATTGATCCAAAGATGCATCTTCGTAGTATTTTAAAACATACACCATGCATCCCACTCTGAAGGCATTTTACACGTTTATTATTCTGGAGATGCATCTCTGTTTAGGATTTACGGAGATGCATCTTCGTGCCCTATCAGAATAATGTTGATTATGTTTGTTTTATGGTTTACACAAATGAAAGTGGTAATTTATAAACGTTAAGAACCCTGTTATGTGAGATTACAATCATACAATTGATATGCAGAAAATGACATATATAAATCCATATGGTTCAAAAATAACATATATAAATAAAGTCGAAATACACGATAAAGTAGAATGAAGTAAAAATAAAATACAATCCATAGTGAATCTAAAGTAGAGGTGTTCGCAGGCCGGTTTGGTTCGATTTTGAGTGAATTCAATGCCCAAACCGATAAAAAATATATGAATCGGTTTGGATTGGATTTTCACATTTTTTCTATAAAATCCAAACCGAACCAAATCAAGAAATAACGAGTTGGTTTGAGTTGGATTGATCGGATACATTAGAAACATATATGCGAAAATATTTTAAAATTTTCTAATTTACATCAACTAATTTTCTATAATAATATAATTTTTTATTTAATTTTGGGTTTTCATATAGATTGTGAATGTCACAAATGAGGTTTCATTTTTATTCCTTTTTAAAGTTGACTATCTTATACTAGTTTCTATTATAATGATATAAATTAAAATAATTAATATGGTTGGTCCGGGTAGACAGGCTCGCGAGTAGAATTTTAAAAACCTGTTGCCTGAACCAATTAACATCGAATTTCATTGGTTTGGTTCGGTTTTTTCCCGAACTAAAAAAATGTCTGACCCAAACACCATGGTTTGGTTTGGATTCTGGTTTGATTCAGATTTGGCAATCCCTAATCCAAAGTATAACTACTATATACTACTGCACTACTGCGTATGTCGGATTACATCTCTTCTGACTCCTCGGACTCCTTGACCTTCAAAATCTCCATTCTCCGACGTTGTCTCTGGTACATCAATGTCTCTCGTGCCTCCATCATGATGGCATCGAGGACCTGCCTTACATCAGACCCATCAGGGAAGATACCTCTGTCAATGTCTGCCTGCACAATCTCTATTATGCGGCAACATCTAGGCAAAACATCATGGAGATGATCTAATTATGTATGCTCCTCCTATAGTATCTCCTGATGAGCTGACATCAGTGGATCTCCTGGAGCAGCCTGCACCATATACAGATGCGACACTCTTAAGAACCACTCGATGAACCCGTCGACGTAGCTCCAAACGCTCTCAGCTATGGTATTTCGTGCCTCCTCCGGTACCAAATGACTTAGATAATCATAAAACATGACATCCATTTCTCTACGTGTCATAGCAAGAGGAGCAGAGACACCAAGGTGTTTGAGAATAATTTGAGAGAGTTTGAGAAAATTTTGAATTTTTTTAAAAATGAGAAAAGATAAGTGTTCTCATGCAATTTAAGCTCTAATACCCACCGAAGATACATCTTACAAATAAGTTTGAAGATGCATCTCTAAACTATTTTAACATTAAGTCAAAATTTTATATACTTAAAGTGTGTCTGAAGAAACATCTATAAAATCTAAAGACCTTTTAATATTGTCATACTTTAGAGTGAATCTGGAGTAATATATAATGCGAAAATTTCCAATATTTTTTTCAAGCAAATCAATCATAATACACTAGCCCAAAATGGATTTCGTGTATTACACTTTTTTTTCTTTTCTCAAATAACAAAAAAGAAAAAAAGTTAAAAATTCCTTTATAAAAATATACAAATTATGGGACAAAATTTGCTTTATTTTATTTCTTTGTCATTTTTTCTCAAGAAAATGAATTGACAATAAACTCTTACCCTTTCACAAAATAAAATAACACAAACTATATATTAATTCCATATATCAACTTCAAAAAATAAAAATATCAAAATAGAATCCCATATCAGTATCTAGCAAACAACTATTCTGATTCCAAACAACCTCTTAATTTTTTCCCTTCAGAATTTCTCATCAGCTTCAGTACTCGTTTGCCTCATAATCTGCAACATTCACAAAACGTGCTTTTTGGTAAAAGCTCGTTTGGTACACTGAGAAAGAATATGAGTGACCCTTCATCACAAGGTTGCAGCTTTATCCCTTCAAGATCGTGGGCTGTGACTAATTCTGCAGTTTGGTGCGGCTGGTGTTGGAATTCTAACAAGGGTGCATGTAGGGTTTCCTTTAAATCCTATTTTCCTTGAAGGGTTAATTTGGTAACATTTGATTGTTTGAGTTTTTGTGAAATTGTGCTGAATTTTCTGGACTTGATAAGACTCTTGTGGAGATTTTGTTGTTGTAGGTGCTGGTAAAGAAATGCAGAAAGGAAAGGTTGATTCTTTGTTTTCGTTTTTATCAATTTCAGTTCCAAACCCTATTTAAATTACTCTGATTGCTTGTTAAAAATTCATTCTTTTATGAATTTAGTAAGTACCCTTTTGTGAGAAAGTTAAGTTTAACTAAATGGGTGGTAGGAAAAATGTTGTTTTTGTTTTTCTGTTGTTGGTTGCTTCTGAAATTTTCATTTCTATGAAATGAGTTAGTTTTGTTTTTGTCACGTGGTGTGATTTTGTGTCCCACGTTTTTGTCACTTTTGAAAGATGATAGCAGCATAATTGACATGATCTTGTTTTTTTCAGCATATTTTTAGGGGTTTTGGGTATTCATTTGATGAATTTTGCACGCTTTTTCTTTTGACTTGTTAGGTGCCAATGGCATTTTTTTAGGGTTGTTTAAGTTTATCTTCATTTCAATCTACCCTTGTACTTTTTTTTCTCTTTCTTTTCATCCAACGTCTTCTGTGATGTAATTTGCAAGCATTAGTTAGGTGCATCCTACATGGTTGACTATTTCAGAAACATTTTTTGAGTCGGTGAATTAGAAGGAACTGTGGATTTCAGAAGGTAAAAATAAGGTTTCGGTTTTGAAATGAAGATTGGTTTTTCTTAAGAAATTTGTTATGTTTAATGTTTAATGACCTTTTGAAATGGTAAAACTTCTACTTCATTTAGACGGTAACAGACTTATGATTCTCTAATACTGTTCTATTGTTAGCTCCATAGTGTAAATTCCATCAAACTTGTATGTTTGTACAATTTCTATCAAGTTTATTGCATTTTTGGTGAGTTCTGAGCTATGTAGCACCAACACCTCTGAAAGATGTGTGTTCGTGTTAGTGTCGGACAACGACTTTATTCAGTTTTTCAAATTATTACTAGTGTCTACGTCTTGGTGTTGGTGTCGTGTCTGGTATGTGTCTGTGTCTGTGCTTCATAGATTCTAAGATATCTGCAATATAAATTAATGTTCCTTTCTACTATAGAAACAAAATTTATTAACTGTTTTAAGTTCTATATATTGTGAAAAATTGCTTTCCATTTAGTGCTTTAGCTTGATTTTATTACGTTAAAACGATCTAGTTTAGGCTTGCTTGATTTTACTTTTTGAAAATGATTTTTATTTCTTTACTACAGAAATCATTGGAGATGGATTTTTTCTCGGAATATGGTGATGCCAACAGGTATAAAATTCAAGAAGTAATCGGAAAAGGTAGTTATGGTGTTGTTTGTTCAGCCGTTGACACTCATACGGGTGAAAAGGTTGCAATAAAAAAGGTTCATGGTATCTTTGAGCATATATCCGATGCTGCACGCATTCTTCGTGAGATAAAGCTTCTCAGACTTCTTCGACATCCCGATATTGTTGAAATCAAGCACATTATGTTGCCTCCTTCAAGTAGGGACTTCAAAGATATTTATGTTGTTTTTGAGCTTTTGGAGTCTGATTTGCATCAAGTCATTAGAGCCAATACCGACTTAACAAAAGAGCACTATCAGTTTTTTCTTTATCAATTACTTCGAGCTTTGAAGTATATTCACACCGGTATTCGTCGATATCTAATTGCCATTCATTCACAGTATTTCACCAATTCAGTTTTCCTTTTGTATTCTATTTTACTCGAGTTTTCTTGCATTGATGTCAAAGTCGTTCATGTAATACTTATTGCAGCAAATGTGTATCATCGAGACTTGAAGCCGAAGAATATACTGGCCAATGCAAACTGTAAACTTAAAATCTGTGATTTTGGGTTAGCTAGAGTTGCTTTCAGTGACACTCCAACAACTGTATTTTGGACGGTATTCGATTCATATGTTATCATCCTATCTTTTTCTCCAGCTGTGTGCGTGTGACTCATAGCAAAAGCTTTCGTAATCTAGAAGCTAACGTTTTCTTGCTTATCGAACACGCTTTTATAGGATTATGTTGCTACAAGGTGGTATAGAGCACCCGAGCTCTGCGGATCATTTTACTCAAAGGTATGTCTTTTTCAATATTCTTTCAAAAATCATTAGCTTCCTGCATAGAAATTGCATATCGATCCATAGTACATGCTTTATCATCATCTTTCCCATCAATACTCGTGACCTGTGTTGCGCTAACACTAAGTTTTTTTATTGTAGTATACTCCGGCAATTGATATTTGGAGTATCGGATGCATCTTTGCCGAAGTATTAATCGGAAAACCACTTTTTCCAGGAAAAAGTGTTGTCCATCAGTTGGATCTAATAACGGATTTGCTTGGAACCCCATCACTCGATGCTATTTCTCGGGTAATTTCTTTTTCCTTTATTGAGAGAAAGTTAACTGTTTTGCTTATGTTTTTTCTTGTGTTATAATCTTTGAACTGTATACAGGTACGCAACGATAAAGCAAGGAGATACTTAACAAGTATGAGGAAAAAACAGCCTGTACCATTTGCACAAAAATTTCCCAATGCGGATCCTTTATCACTACGACTACTCGAAAGGTTGCTCGCCTTTGATCCAAAAGACCGGCCTACTGCTGAAGAGGTTTGTTATTTGCGCTCTTTCGTGAAGTATAGTATTAAACCGTTGTTTTAGTCATATAATTAAATGCTCAATGTTGTCAAATAGTGGCTATAGCGTAGCGCAATTTTAACAAACCACTATTGTTCCGCAATACGCGATTTAGTACAAAGTGTTGTCAAATATTGTCTAATGCAGTGCCATAGCACTATAACATAGCGAAATTTGAACAAACCGCTATTTCTGCGATTTGCGAGTGACAACACTGTATATTGATATATGTATATGTTAGCGTCTTGTTCAAGAATTTTATGTGATTTGGTGATGTCAGGCATTAGCTCATCCTTACTTCAACGGACTGGCAAAAATTGAAAGGGAACCATCCTGCCAGCCGATTACACAAATGGAATTTGAATTTGAAAAGAGAAGAGTAACAAAGGGAGAGATTCGAGATTTAATTTTCCATGAGATTCTCGAGTATCATCCTCAACTAAATGGAACGGAGAAGACTAATTTTCTTTATCCAAGGTTTTTGTTTGTTTTTTCTCACAAGATATTTTTTATTCATTGTTCTACTGTCTTACTCTCTCCTTACTTTTCATCGATCATATTCTTTACAGTGCTGTTGATCAATTCGAAAAACAGTTCACTCATCTTGAAGAAACGGGTGGTAAAAGTGATCCAGTTGTGCCACTCGAAAGAAAACACGCATCACTTCCGAGGTAAATTATCAATGCAGCAAATCTCATTGTATTTCATTTGCTGCTCTTTTGATGTCTTGACATGGCCTGAGATGAAATCAACCAAACAAAATACGGTTTGCATTTGTTTCCATGCGTGTTACATCTGTTCAATTCACAAAGGTCATAATAGTATTCTTACGATTGTTTTTTCTTTTAAATTATTGACAGGTCAACGACTGTACATTCAAATACAACATCCGAAAAAGAGCAGTCAAATATTGCTTCCAGCAAAAACCGGCAAACAACCGAGGAGTATAATACTAGTTATCCGGAATCCAGCAACATTCGGGGACTGCAAATAATTCCACTGGGTACATGATCATAATCTTCATCAAAGTTTTGTTTGACTTTTGTGCATTATCAACCATTAGTACTTTTAACACTTCTCTTTTCAGACACACCTGGTAAAGTTGTTAGACCACTTGTTCGGTACGGGCATGAGAGTATTGTCAATGATTCATACGATTCCAGGACGTCAATGAGAGGTTCTGTTCTTCCCTCTCAATCTATCTCCCTTATTCAGCACCAACACTTCTGATTGAAGGCATTTAGTGTCTGACATCAGACACGACACCAACGCATGTGATTATATTCAATTAATCGACAAATGTGTCTTTACAGGCAAAACATATCCTGCAATGTTGAATCAAAACCGGAATAGCATCAGATTTAACCACAAGTATTGATACCAACACAACAATTAACGAGCGAACAAGGATAGAACAAGATGATTGAATAGCTATTGACATTGACACAAACTTGACGCCCAGATTGAAAGGATGGACCTGTTCATGACAAGGATGTTCTAGAAGGTTTTCTTGTGAATAGTTTGGCCAAAATAAAGAAATTCCTATGCAGGAAAAAAAAAGGCTCATTGTAGTGGAGAAGGCGTAGTCTCTGCCATGGATTAGTGCTTCCCCTCATAGAGCCAGTTTTTTCTTTTCATATATTGTAAAACTTTGGTTACATCTATCAATAAATTGTAGTTTAAGTTCAATCCACAGCCGATACGTGACAGTCAGTCACATCTCGGCTGTCTGATCAAGATTGGCCGATTCATATTTCAATGTCGTGATTTGATAGTTTTTTTCAAATATAAAATATAAGTTAAAATCTGACCGCATGCAATCACAAGATTCACAACCCAGATCTGATCTCTCTCCGGCTTTAACATCGAGACAGTTCTTTTCTAGTTTTCAGTATTTCACACCAGGTATTCTGGTGTTCAATAGTAATTTATACAGAAATAGAAGATAAACAAATAACAAACTGCGGTCAATAGTAATTTATGACAAACAAATAACAAACTGTGTTGTTACACTTTTTTAACGACAACAGTAAACCCTAGTTAATGTTTGAAATCTGAGGGACATTTGAGATTGGGATATAATGCATTCGAATAAGGTTGTTTGTTGAAATTTTTGGCATTTACTGCAAATGTAAGCAGCATAGCTGCAAACTGCAGACAGGAGGGGCTCACAGATTAAAGACTTTGGTCAGTTCATGTGCTGATCATTAAGTTAAAACAGTTTGAGAAAATAAAAAAAATAAAAAAACTCTTTTCTTTCATTCATCTACAAGGACAAATATGAATATTCTCCACCTGCAACTTCCATACTCTTTTGTTTTCAAACTTTTTTATTATTTCATTACATACAAATACAATTACAAATACCCCCTTTTCTTAGAGTGTGTGACATGACATAATCCATCAATATCTCTCCTAATTCAATGTTGGGTTGTCATCAATTACTTTGTGATTAAGCAAGTTATGTGTATTATTAATCATAGCTTTAAAAAGTGTTACTAGTTTTGTTTTTTTATATATTCTCTCATGAGGCCTACCATGTGAGATTTTCATATTTTTTGTATGATATCTTCATATGTGGAAACAGATGAAAGAAAATGTGAAGATGCATTATATAATTCGAAAGATCTGTTCACTAATGTCCGATTAAAGTTAGAGTAGAATTGTATATCGACTGATCTAATACAAAAATTGTTTCCACCGACAGCATTCACACTTAAAATTTTAAAATAAACACATTTTCAAATCTCAAACTTTCACTGTCGATGAAACTTTCACCAACAGATATTATTTTTGTACAACTATCAACTGAACTGTTTTATTTAGACTGAAACCGGATAGAATGTAGTAGTACAAGAAAGAAATGGTGGTACGGAATCCAAGAAAAAGAATGGTGATTAATATAAAAAAAAAGTGAGTGTATGTGTGTGAATGTGACAAAAAGAAAGGGAAAGGAGTGGGACTGAGCACATGGAGTCCCATATGCCCAACAGAAGAAAATCTCTGTATACAATCCCAATGACCCAATACGCCGTTTGGTTTCCTTCTTGGAAACACCACCACCACCCCTCTCTGATTATGCACCACATCCTATAAGGGCCACCATCACTAAATGCTTACAATCACAAACTTTCATCCTCACAGTTGTGGTCGAGAAAATTCAAACTCTAAATCTTATATTTTTCTGTTTTAAAACATATTAATTCAAAAAATTAATTTTACCATCCATTTTCTAAATCGAGTAAACTAAAATTTAATTCTCATTATCTATATAATTAACGTTAACTATGTGAAAAATATTATAATATTATTTATTTAATTAATAAAATATTCCAACAACATTAAAGTAATAACATGATATTTGAAAACAGTGAGGTCAAGTTTTGGTTTCTTATAGACAACCATAGTTAAAGTAAAAACTACTCAAATCAACTATAAGATTTTTAAATTCTAAAAAACACTTTAGACCCACAAAAAATATCTTAGTTTACCTATTTAATTTACTCTCATTAAAGATAGCTTTTTAAAAGTGTTTGCCTTATAATTTAAAAGTTTTGACGTTAAAAATCATTTGAAAATGCATAATATGTTGAGACATAGGTAAAATATGTTAACATATGCATATATAAACCATTATAATTTTATATTTAGACATTTACATGTTATTATAAAATATGTTTATTGTTCAAATAAATTTATAATTTAACGTATAAAGGAATGCAAATGTATTAAACTTTTTCTTAATCTTATCCTTATACACAAAAATAAGTTTTATTTTAATAAAATTTATAAATAAATAATATTTTACTTTTTTTTAATATGTAAATTTAAATAAATATCATATGACAAAATATATTTATAGTACTTGTTGATTTTTTTTTAAAAATTTAAAAATATTTAATGATTCTTAAGATTTTATAATATAATGTCATTTGATTTGATCCGCTTTACAAAAATACAAATTGCAAAACAAACTAAATCATTCGGTTTTATTATAAAATCATTCATACACATCCAAATTAAATGTGACTCTATAATTTTAAATTTGGTTTGATTCGGTTATCAGTTTTTTTATTGGGGCTGTTTGATTTGATTTTGAATACCTTTAATTTTTTATTTAAATAAATGGTGTTTTAGTAAATTATTATTTTTTAATTATTTTTATAATAAATAAATTACTCTAAAATGAAAAGTGAGAAAATTCAGAGATATTATTTTAACAAACTTGTAATATAGTATGATGTGTTTATAATATTTAAATAATTTAGAACCTAGTCAATAACCTTCATGAACTTTGTAGCAACACAGTGTCCCAACCTTATGGTTTCCCCTTTGGAAAACTTTAGCTACAGATTGGAACCATTACAACAAAATATTGTGTGGAGCGTGAGGGTTTGATATCAGTGATTTTCTTTTATTACTCTATCTACTTGGGTTTATGAGGTTTTTGTCATCAAATGAATCATGCTTATGACATCATCAAAAGGCTCAAAGATATAGATGAATTTAATCGTCGTATTTAGATGGTTTAAAGATTACATTTCAAAGTTTGTGAAATGTGATTCTCTCCATGTTGTGACGTAGGACATGTACTTAGGCCTAAACATTGTGTGACAACTCGAGAATCACATTCCCTCATATGGATAGTGATTCTAAAGCTCTTCTTGACATAATTACTACTATAAGAAGGTTTGGTATAAATTGATTTATCATATTAATGATTTTTTGAATTTGGATTAGATTCGGTGTTGCCATTTATTGTCGTGATTTGTAGAGAGTCGTTGGATGCATTGGTACTTGAGATCTTTTATGATTATTAGGATGATAATCTTCGTGTATTAGGAATGTTCGAGAAAGAATAGGGTGCCTTCTTGGTGGTTGGTCGGGGTCGATGTGGTCGACATATAACAATTTCCCTCCATGCCCTTGTTGATGTAAAGATATGCGGGGACTTGATATTGAAGTCTAGATGTCGAACACCCTTTAGTCACTTTAAGATGGATGAATAAGAAGCATTTCATTTCTTAAGGAATCCTCCATTTAATGCACCATACTTCAAACTTATTTTTATAGATATCATCGTTGCGACTCTTGAAAACAAAATTTCTTAAGTGTTGTGTGTGAGTAATTAAATGCTTTTGGTGAATCCTCTTTACATACTAGAATATAATCTTTTTTTAAGAAGGATAAGTGTTATCTTCTCATGAGTATTTCTTTGCAACTGTAAAGTTAATGTATTGTGGAAAACGATACCTTAAAACAAAGTATAAAATGTTTCTTTATGATAAAGAAACACACAAGGGTTAGGGTTAACGAAAAAACAAGAAGAAGAACAATAAGGATTTGTTATAACTGGTATTCTTTACTTTCTCTTTAAATCATATTACAAGTATTTAAGAATAACAAATAACTCTCTCACCTTAATTAGGATTTGTCACACTTATAATGAGAGACTAATATACTATTTATAATAAAACCTAATATACTAAACTAATGGGCTTTTTAACAATTACCCATTACAAGCTAACTTAAACAATTGGATCCTTAACACAAGACCCAATTCAACAACTACATACTAGAACACATTTCGACTATAGCATGTAGGTCTTCGACAACAGCATGTGAGCAGACTTCGACGGCATGCTAATGTAAGCATAGGCCACACAACCAAATACTCTAAGTCTGTCGAGGCTAGGTGGATATCTCGACCAAACTTCTTCAGGTGTCTTCATATCTAACGCAGTCGAAGGACATCTGTTTATCAGATACGTTACTGTCAAAACAACCTCATCCCAAAACACCTTCTTTAACCCAACACTATTCTACATTCATCTAACTTTTTCCAAAATAGTTCGATTAAACCTTTTCGCCAAACCATTTTGTTGTAGAGTACCTGCAGTAGTTTTGTACCTTGTAATGCCTGAGGCAACACAAAAGTTGTCGAACGTCTCATTGCAAAATTCAAGACCATTGTCGGTTCTTAACCACTTGACCTTTTTGCCAGTTTGATTTTCGACCAGAGTTTTCCAACTTTTGAAATTCTCAAAAGTTTCATCTTTAGTCTTCTGGATGAATACCCATAACTTATTGGAATAGTCATCAACTATGGATAGAAAATAACTTGCTCCTGAATGTGATATACACCTTGCAGGCCCCCAAAGATCAGCATGGAAGTAATAAAGGGATCCATGCGTTCTTTGTTCGCCTTTTTTGAACTTCACTTCGCAAGTTTTTCCAAGTACACAGGGTTCACAAAATTTTAGCTTTTTGACTTTGTCTCCACTAAGCAGATTTTGTTTCCCCAATTCGACCAAACTCCTTTCACTGACATGGCCTAATCTCATGTGTCAAATTTCTGTCTTCGACAAAGGTTTCGTG